AGAGAGAGAGAGAGAGAGAGAGAGAGAGAGAGAGAGAGAGACGCTACTGCTGTGATCTCTTAGACCTTGCGTTTCCTTTGTAGCTTGGGGACTGTCCAGAGATTTCTTTTCATGGAGAATCTTAGGGCTTCTGTGTTCAGGTCTCTGTCAGAGAGCCTGTGCATTGATAGCAAGAAAAAGTAAGGGTCCAATTAAAACATTCATAGAGAACTCAACAACAACGGAACAGGAAATGCAAATAGAAGACAGTAAAGCACAAGTAGCCTGTGCATTGATAACAAGAAAAAGTAAGGGTCCAATTAAAACATTCATAGAGAACTCAACAACAACGGAACAGGAAATGCAAATAGAAGACAGTAAAGCACAAGTAGCCTCAAGAATTTAGGGGGAAATGGTTCACAGAAGCAGATTCTCTTTCAATTCCTATGCTTCTTCAGAGAGTCTGAAACAGATCTGTGAGGATAATGTGCTCCAGTGAGTACTGAGCCCTGATGAGAGAGTAAGGGAGCGGCAACCTCACCTCAGGATGCCTGGGCAGGAGGCACAACACCCAGTCCAGCTCCGAGAACCACAAACCTTCCCCAGATCTTTATTCATAGTGATTCCCAAGATGAGAACGCTCTGGAGGCAGAAAAATGCTAAAGACTTCAGACTATTTTTTTTTTAAATTAAAAATCAGAAATGTCTGATTTGATGCAAGAAAACACAAACCTTCAAAGGGGTTGGGGAAGAATTCTCCCTTCTTCTAAACGAGTAAGAGTGCACGTAATTTTAAAGCACCAATGGGAAATTTCGTATGCTAGTTAAGTAAAAAGAAAACATTTGAAAACCACTTGGGTAAAATAAAAAAGGGATAGTTGGGTTCCTGGCTCTTCTAGGAAAGGGCACTGGAGAGATGTCGCTTCCTCGCCAGCAGGGGGCGCGTTTTCTTCATGATTGCGTCGTAGAACTTGGTTAAAAAACTTCGCAGCCAGCCGTGTTCAGAGCCCCCCAGCCGGAAATCGCTGTGCAGGTAACAGCCCTCCAGTGTCTGGAAATGTTTAATTACCTGGAGTGCTCCTTCCTTCGATGCCCTGTACAGGTCCAGCACGCAGCGCTGCGGGTATGGTAGGTGATTCTAATCCAGGGTTCCACCCCAATTGCACACAACTCCACCGAAACAACTTTTCTCCATTTTATCTTGCTTTATTAGACATTTTTTTCTGATGTGCTCACTTCCAACCTTGGAGGAAAGAACAATTCAGTTCCACAAGAGCACAGGTGGTTGTGTGTCGAAAATAATTCTAACCACTCATTTTTAAACCTCTACCGTGCCCTTCGCCCATATTTTGTACAAGTCAGTATCTTTCTATTTTACCGAAGAGTATTGTAAACAGAGTTCGTGCAATTCCGTGTGTATATTTGTGTTTCCTTCGAACAGAAACAAAGACAAAGGTATTTACCCACGTAGATGTCTTGTGGTTTCCTTTAATAATTAGAAGATGCTTAGATGTTCACAAGGAACTTAGGATGCGGGAAACATCTGGGAAAATGGTGTTCACTTTCCCTTTCAGTTTGGGTATGTAACTTGTCTCTGTCTCTGTCACAACAACAAACATCTGCGGTAGCATGATCCACAGGCTTCTATTCTCAGAACCCTGGCTAGCTTGTAGATTCTCAGAGCCATTAAGGTCCCAACCGCGTACATAAGCTGTGTTGCCTACCTCCAAAATTTAACCCCTCCTCCTCCGAGCTAGATTTTTACCTGACTGACTATAATGGTTCCAAAGGAACTATTGAGCCGTTACAATTCATCATCTCAATGAATACACGGGGAAAGCTAAATCCCCTCACTATTTGAAGGTTCCAATCTTGCATATGGGGGGGGAGAGTTAATGAGAAGGCTCCCCCCAAGACGTCCGCAAACTAGTTGCAGGAAAGTTTGCTGTGGAAACAACACTTCGTAAATTCCATTTATCAAGATGAGATCACGTTTGTGTATCTGTGGAGAGGTACCGGTTCAAGATTTTAAAAAACAAGCGGAGACCACCCAAATCATTTTTAACTTCAAGACAGGCTGCACCCTTTTCTTTCCCGATGGGCAAAGGGGACTGGGGTTAGAACAAGAGGACAAGCGGAGGTCAAAATCACCAGGCTAAGCCTGAGGGGAAAGGCAGCCAGGACTCAGCCGCAGTGACTGCACTCCCTGTGGTCAAAGTTCTAGAGAAGGCTGGGGATCGCGCTTTGCCTGCACTCTACCAGGACCTGGAAGAGCGCTACGGCCGGCCCAGGGCTAGAACACTTCTCTTTGGAGTGGGTACCCTTTCTCCAGGTGATCAACTCCCACAGAATCTGGAACATCTTGGGCGTTCATCCTGGATCCAAGGAACAGGCAAGCAGTGGCCAAGGGAGAGTCAGAGAGGAGTGGTAGCTGCTGAATCTGGTTACCCGCTGCAGGCTCTATGCGAGCCTAAGCTATAGTCTCAGTCAGGGGAAGTTCTGAGAGGCAGGGTTTGTGGACCCCAGGAATGAGGCGTGGGTGCGATAGGAGTTTCCTCATCTTCAGTGGGCTCTTGGGCTGATGTGACCAACAGCACCTCTGGGTACAGACCATCTATGGCATGAAATAGGTTGGAAACGTAACATCCTGGAGGCTTTTAAACGAATGTAACTTCTTTAAAAATACCCATGTCCTCCCAGGTAGTCTGAGCCCTGCCCTCCACCCACTAGTTCCTGTCCTGCTTAGTCTGGCCAATTTCTCTTAAACAGATGGGAGAAATATCCTAGCAAGTTGATCTTCTTAGAACAGAGCACGGAATGGTCGGTGGCTTCTGGGGCTTCTGGGACTTCTTCCTCCAAGTCACACTCAGAAGAAAACAGGACCCTGGATGGCCTCCAGTACATCTGGGATCCATGCTTTGGGGTTGGGGGGGTCGCTCACCAAGGGACTCACAGTGGGGGCAAGCACTTCTCCACTTCTAGGTTGTCTTGAATTTTGTTTCATAGTGCTCTGATGGTGTGGCTGACCTGGGATGCAGTCCCTTAGATGTCAGGGATCTAAGCCCATTGAGGTGACCTCAGTCTCCGGGTACATAGTCTTGCACAGTCCTGTCCTGCTTTGTTAACCAACTCCCTGAAAATGTCTGAGAGCCAAAGGCCAGGGTCCCAACCTTGTTTCCTATGCCTTCTGAGTCCTCTCAGTCCCAGTCTGGAGGCCAGGTCAGTTTTTCCAGGTAAAAGTAGAATTAAAAAAAAAAAAATCTGCTTGCATGTTCTTTGCCTAGAATCAGAGCACTGCTTTGCCAATGTAGGTAACCTATTCTCTCTCTCTCTCTGTCTCTCTTTGTCTCTCTCTGTTTCTGTCTCTCTCTAATGCACATGCTCGCACGCGGGTGGTTTTCTGACTTCCTGACTTTGCTCCAGAGTTACTAATGAAGAGTGGTGCTGGGGGGGGGGGCGTACACACACACACACACACACACACACGAACCTGGTGGAGGAGATTGGAGATGATAAAGCTCTTTTTTTTGGAGAAAGAAAAAAAGAATGATGAAATAGAGAACTGAGTTGTAAAGACTCCTCAGAAGGAGAGGGGATAGTGTGTACGTGTCTCAGGAGGGTCTTTACTTTTGCTGTATACTAGCCAATAGCCAGAGGTTTTATTTTGTTTAACACTTTTGGGAAACTTTGGCCCTTAGTATGGAAATTCTCCAAGCTTTGCCTACTATGGGAACCTGAGACTGGCACCTACAAACCCCTTTAGCCTAAGTGGAAGGAAGTCTGTGAAGTCCTGGAATGCTTGACTGGATTTTGTTTCTATGTTGTACCCAGCTCTTGGAAGAGGGTGATCTCAGCATTCTCTGCTTCCAGGGGCAGCCTTTGGTCAGGATCTTGCTAGTATGGACAGCTGTAAGACTCCAGGCACATCATAGGCACACTTATTGGGTCTCTTGCTTGGACAGTAACCAGTGGGAAGCTGCAAGTGGGGCTCTTGTGGGAAGTGTCGCCGGTCTTTCTCTCCTTTCCTGGTCTAGCCTAAGTTAGCCAGAGTCTAGAAGCTATGTTCTGTTCTAAAGGCTTGTAGAGACCAAGTCTGTTTCAATTATGGAGGTGGGAGGAGGGATGTGGTTTAACCTCCATGATCACGCCCTGTGATAGGAATCAAACTCCTGCTACCTCAAGAAATCACATCGAATCAGCCTTGCACAGTAAGGCTGCAGAGTGGGCGACTCTTTTAAAAGAACTATTCCAGTGTGTTAAAGTGGTACCTGCTCCTCAGTAAGCCGGATATGTGCATGTGCGAGTTTGCAAATGTCTCTCTCTCTCTCTCTCTCTCTCTCTCTCTCTCTCTGTGTGTGTGTGTGTGTGTGTGCGCGCGCGTGCGCGCGCTCCCGCGCCACTCTGCATTAGTAACTCTGGGGCAAAGTCAGGAAATCAGAAAACCTCACCATGAAAACTTCTTCCATGAAGAAGCCAGGTCAGGCATTCCAGAAAGGTGGTAGGGAGAGATGACAGCTGACTGGGGTCAGCAGTAGGTCAGTGCTAGGGATCAATAATAAAGAGATAGTTGGGGGTGGGTGGGGACAGTGAGGAAAATGTAGTTGTTCTAGGCCAGAGCCCTGACACCCTCTCCAAACTCCACCTAAACCAGCTCCCCAGACCCGGTGGTCCCAGTGCCTCTAGCTGCTCTTTAAACTCAGATCCACTGGTCTGTAGCTTTAGAATGGAATCTCAGGGAGGTCTGAGTTTCAGGAAACTAGCTCTTCTTTGCCCCATAAGCTCTGCCACGGACGTTTCTGTGGAACTCCACATCCCAGGGTCTGTGGTCAGCCATAGGCACTCGGATGTTATGGCTCTCTGCAGTCAGTAATCTGTCCTTCCGCACCAGGAATGAGCCAGCTCTGCTAGAATCGCTGCCCCGTCCCAAGCACTATTTGGTTTCAGAGCGCTGCTCCACACCACGGGGCTGTCACTTCTAGGAGGAGATTCTAAGAAGAGCAGCGACTTTGTCAGATTACAAACTGCACGTATGGCTAAGGTGCTGGTGTAGCAACACCCCGGGCTCCTCTCCGCTTTCATAGGCACCAGCATAGGTCCCAGAGCGCAGCAACGGAACTCTGAAATGCTCGGTTCTAGCCCTCTGTTGTCCGCTAGGATGTTTCTTCTAATGCTTGCCCTTATGTGTCTCAAAAAAAAAAAAAATACAGAAAGTGTCGAGTGAGACTGTCGGGAGGGACACCGGTCAAGAAGCAGAGGGCAGGCTAGTACAGCTGCCAAAGTCGGCTGCCCGGGTCAGCAAAACTTTGTTTCCCAATGCGCAGGCGCAGGCAGAGTTGGGGGGCAGGGGAGGGAGGGGAGGAATCGCGAGGCAAGGGGAGGGGGTTAGGGGGAGGTGGATTAAAATAAGTAGGCGGCTCGGTGCTAAGGGATGAGTGAGACGTAGCTCGGCCTCTCCCCAGCAAGTTCTCACCGGCTCGGGTTCAGATTCAGAAAGGGAGCCAGGAGCGAAGCTCACCAGATCCCCCCGCGGGCAGTACTCCGGGGCTGCGGAGCGCTCCCGCGTGTCCGGCTCTTGGAGTCACCGCAGCTGGAGAAGCGTCAGGACTCTAGTTCTTCAGGGGTGCCAGTGGGCTCTAGGGTCTCTGGTCACTCAAGTCCAGCACACGACCCTCACAGACGCGCTCTGCCCGGGAACCGCGGCGGAACAAGGTAACTGCAGCCCTCGGGCCCCTGGGCTCAGCGAGGCGAATGCCGGCAAGACTGACTCCAGGTTCCTTGTTGTAGCTGATGCCTCCTCTTTTCAGTGTCCTCGATGGCAGTTCTTGTGGCCAAACGAAGGCTGCAAGATCTTTGTGAAAGTGAGAGCAGTTGCAACATAGGGTTGATGGGGATGCTGGTTGAAGGATTTCTAACTCTGGGTCCTTATTGGCCTCTGACCTCGGGAGGACAGAAGGGACAGAAGGGCCTGGGCCATTGAATACAGCCGTGCTTGGCTAGCTAGAATTCCAATATTCCAGTAAGGTGTCCACAGATTTCATAAGGCACTCTGCAGGCTTCCTTTAAGAAACTAGAGCAACTTCAGAGAACACAAACTTTGTTGCAGGGTGCCCTGTTAATCCAGACTGATCCCTCCTTAGCTGAGAAAGAGGGGAGAGTGTGTGGATGGTCATAACTTAAGCTCACAGCATCCGGGACAGGTGCATTGCCCCAACTCTGTGGCGCTTTAATGCGAACACTTCTTTTGTGGAGTTGTACTTTAGAATGGAAGCCTTCAGACCCCATGACCACAGGGCTGCTGCGAGTCTGACATCCGCCTCACAGACTCTCTGTTTAAGATGATCTCTAGTGGAGGGTTTCAATGTGTCCTCAGGCCTGCAAATCATAACCTTTGATTGTTTCTAGTATAGGGAGAGCTATGCTGGGGGGGGGGAGCGGCACAAACGGACATTGTTTTCTAAGTCGAGGACCGGACGCCCCAGAAGCAGAACAATCATGAGGCTGCAGATACCTCTAGCTTGGGGATTCATTTTTACTCCTTTGGTAGTCGCCTAACTTAAGTTTAAGGGGAAAAGATGGGAAGTCAAAATGAGAGACAAGGTGAGGGCGGCTGCTTGCTGAAGGAGCCTTACCTTCCCAGCAATATCCTTGAGAAGAATAAAGATTCTCCCGCGCAGCCCTCTCTTAGCAGAGTCCTGCACAAGCCGGGTGGGCTCCGGAGCAGTTTAGCGGCAAAGGTTTCTTTGTCGCAATAATTCGATGAATTTCATCTGGGATGGGACTTGCAAGTTGGCTCTTTGAAAGAGAGCCACGTGCAAAGCTTTCCTCCTGGTTTCACAGCCTCCCAGGGAAGGAGTGGGCTGGCTGGCAGGGAAGGGGAACCAAGAAGAACTGGTGGGTAGATGGTCTATCACAGGCTCTCTCGAAAGTAATTGCGGGTTTCATTAAGACTGGGAAGCCGACTCCTGGGGACACAGCGGGCATCCCAGTATAGCAGAATGGCGAACGAAAGTGGGTTCCTTAGATCTCGTTTGTTGGAAAAAAATGCAGCTAAAGTATCCGGTGTTGGTCAGTCCTCTGGACCTGAATTCGGAAGTCTGTCACCATCCAGATGGAGATTCGATGTCAAGGATGATATTGGGGTGGGGTGGGATGCTGCTGGGTTCCTTCAGGCACAAACTCGTGGGGTTCGCTCTGTCCTCATTAATGAAAGCAGTTAACTAACTCACGCTCAATTAGCCCCGAATAAACCACTTTAATAGGCTGCACACTTCATTAATGCCCTCCATAGGGATGGTGGCAGACGCGGGATTGGCATTCTGCTTCAAGAGGGACACGAATGACTGTGCCCCGCATGGACCCCTGCTCTGAGGCACGAATTGAGTTCAGTGCAGCGAGTCAGGACATTTACTAGAGCTTACTAAGTCTCCAGTCCTGAGCTCCACGTGGAGTAGGTACTGGGCCTTAGAAGAGGTAGACTCTGCCCGAGTAAAGGATGAAAAGCTCAAGACAGAGTGAGGGTGGGGGCACTGGAGCTGGAGAGGCCCGGTGTTCCACTCATCTTTTCAGACCGCAGTGGCATATCTGCAATTGTATTTTCCTCTTAGCTGGTCGCTTGAAACCAGATTTTGCATAAGATCCATTTTTAGTACTGATGTAAAGATTCACGTTTCTAACGAAATTCGTCCATGGGGAAGATCGTTGGCATGACCCTTGGGATCCCACGCCTAAGGAAGCTACAGAAAATAAACTGCTTGGTCCATGGAGAAAAAGAAATGGCATGTTGGAGGGAATAAGATCAGGCAAAGAGGTTGCAAGAACCTCCCCTCCAGGGTCCCAAGGCCTCGCCGGACTTTTTGGCTTCTGTGGTGGGAGGCAAGGGAGAATCAGGAGAAGTCTATGAGTTATGCCAAGCCTAGTAGTTCAAGCCAGAGTCCTGATGCCACCATCCCAAAGGCCTAGTAGGAGAGGGGCTAGTGTGGCCTCCTCATTGCCCAGGCTGGCTCCAATAGAGCCTATGATAAGGATCTAATTTCCAGTGCCTGGAAGAAAGAGAAACAGGGTTGGCAAATCAAAGAGCATTCAACTAGCCTATGTCCTGCAGAGCTTAGAAGTTGGAGGTCTTCTCCCCTACTCCAGAGGGGTTCCCTGTTTCCTCTTCAGCCCAAGGCCAACTGTACTTTGCTTTTTCCTTGTCCCAGAAATCTGAGATGACCCTAGTTTGTCTGGTCCAGGTTTTGTGAATTGAGTAATAGAGAAGGCTGGTGCATGATTGCCATCCTGCTAGCTAGTTAGATTGGACCTCAGCAGAATTTTGTGCTCCTTACATTGGGGGGTGGGGGGCAAATTAATTGCAGGCACATTTCAGCCAACCTGCTCTTGACTTTGTGCTACTAGTCACTGTCCTCCTTTGTATCTAGCTGTATCATCAGCTACCTTCCTACTAGCTGCTAGAGAGGTTTTCTCAGTAGTGTCCTTGGTTTCTCCCCTCCTCACATACTCTGTGCATCTCTGGGCTAGCCAGACATTTTAGAGCCTCAGGCAGAGAAAAGAAATTGACTCCACTCCCTCTGTCTTGCCTTTAGTGATGAAGGTGTTTAGATATCTAGGGGCTGAGCTGTGAAGACAGTCAGGAAAGAAGCTTGTATCAGGGAAAGAGAACACTTCAGACAGAGGACAGATGTGAGGAAGAGAGGCACTGGCTCAAAGGAAAAGAAATCAGAAGCCAGATGCTGCCAACTGGGAAAGGGGAAGGACCCTGCTCTGACAATGACCCCAGCATTGCCAGTGAGCCCCAAGCTTAGAGGCTTTCCAAGGGTCCCTTGTGGTGTTTGTTTGTTTTTGCTTTCCTACATTTTTCTCTCTTCCACCATATAGATCCAAATTAGAAATCTCTAGAGGGACAGAGGATGCCCCCTACTTTCCCATGCATCCTGAGTAACTTGAGCAAAGTAGCCTGAAGATGCCAGCTTTGGTGGCCCTGGTCATTTTGGCATGGCACCCCTTAGATTTTATTCAAGAACCCTGATCTTCCAGTCAGAGAGTAAACTGCAGTAATGAAGGCCTGGCACTAGTACTACACACTGACCTTGTCCAGAGTTCTCATCCTACATAACAAGATTGAACATCCTGCTCCTTTTTTCTATGAGCACATGACTTCTCTCATATGAAGTCAACATAGATGTTAGTACCTTTCTTGAAATGAGGGTGACTGAACCATCAAAGGTTAGAGAGTTAGTTAGCAAGCAGCTACCAGGAGTATAAATTCCACAGGATTCCCCAATCAGTCTTAAGGTACATTGCAAACTTAGGACCGAGTGAGAGTTTTAAAGATGATGACCTGATTCTTTTGGCTTCTGGAAACCAAACCAGTTACCCGATGAAGTAGGAATTTCTGGTTTCATTGGCTTAACATGCAGGATCTGGGCGGTATACATATTTGAAGCCTCCTGTATTTTGTACAGGGTTGTCCCATAAAAACACTGGCTGTTCTTTGTCTCTGGATCTTCTTGTTGATTCTGGTTCAGAACAAGATAATCTGAATGTGTAAGTGTGCCTCCTCAGGTTCTGTTACTGTTGCAGCACAGCAGAATTCTGTGTGGCTTCAGGTTTGCCTGAATGTGGCTATCTGGTGTCTGCGTGCCTCTTTGCATCTTTCACAGCTGACAGCAGGCTTTTGTTTTAAGTTGGTTGTATCTGTCTTTAAGGACTTAGTTTCCCACTGATTGCTCTGTCAACATGTATGTCTCTGCCAGACACCATTTGGAGGGAGTCTGACCATCATAGAAAATTCTGGTCAGACAGCTCTCCTGCATCTTGTATCCTCATCTATTTTGAGAGGGCGGTGGATTCATGGGTGGGGTCTTTGTGTCTTACCTCCTGCCTGCCCTAAGAGAGGGAGAGAGTATAACTGGACTGGAATTCTGGAGGAAGATAACCTACACTGAACATCTCTTTGGCTCTCTCCCCACCCTCTTCCTGTCTTTGCAGATAATTGAAATCATTGTGGTTACCAGTGACAGAAATGGGCAGCAAAACCTTGCCAGCACCGGTGCCCATCCACCCGTCCCTGCAGCTTACCAATTACTCTTTCCTTCAGGCAGTGAATGGCCTGCCTACAGTGCCCTCGGACCACCTGCCCAATCTGTATGGTTTCAGTGCTCTTCATGCGGTGCATCTGCACCAATGGACGCTGGGCTACCCAGCCATGCACTTGCCTCGTTCCTCTTTTTCTAAAGTGCCAGGTGCAGTGTCCAGCCTGGTGGACGCTCGCTTCCAGCTGCCAGCCTTTCCCTGGTTTCCACACGTCATTCACCCTAAGCCAGAGATCACCGCGGGAGGCAGCGGCGCAGCGCTAAAGAGCAAGCCGCGCTTTGATTTTGCTAACCTGGCCTTGGCTGCCACACAAGAGGATCCCACCAAGCTGGGCCGAGGGGAGGGCCCTGGCTCTCCTGCTGGTGGGCTGGGCGCCCTCCTGGACGTGACCAAGCTATCCCCAGAAAAGAAGCCAACAAGAGGACGCCTGCCTTCCAAGACCAAGAAGGAATTCGTCTGCAAATTCTGTGGCCGCCACTTCACTAAGTCCTATAACCTTCTTATCCACGAGCGAACGCACACCGATGAGCGGCCTTACACCTGTGACATCTGCCACAAAGCTTTCCGGAGGCAAGACCACCTACGGGACCACAGGTGCGACACTGCAGCACCGCGGGTGGCCCCAGAGGGATCTGTTTCGGCTACTCTGGCTTCATGCTTCCCCCTCCCCTTTAAGGTTCCCAAGAGTCTCTAGTGACTGTAAGCATTCCCATAACTCTGGGGATTCTTTAAAACTATAAACGAACTCCCTTCCCGGGTCTCCTCCTCTAGAAAAGGTTTTAAAACGCGGGTGAGAGAAACACTGTAATGAGTAAAATCTAAGATCGGGCTTCCACAAGTTCGGGTCTCCTTGTTCTGTTATCAGTCTCCCGAAACTGTCCAATAGGAGTTCTGCAAAGGCGGAGAGATTTGGGAACTTGAAATAGGAACTCAGAAACGTTTCGTTTTAGTTAATTTCATGCAGTTATAGTTTTTAAGAATCTCTTGGGCAGTGCAGATCTAGAAATTGTCTGACGCCTGGTCTGTTGATTGACCTCCAGTGTTGACTCACTCTTTAGGAGGAGGTGCTTACTACTTATCCCCAGGAAGGCTGGTGGTCTGTTTGCTCCCTCCCTCCCTCTTCTCCCCACTCCCACCCACAGCCTCTGCATATTGCTTGATCTTACTTTGCCTGTACCCACAAACACCTTAACAGCAGGGGGAGGGGATCTCGGACAGCCATTCATAAACAACATTGCATTATGTCGTCTGTCTCTACCCTTAGATATATTCATTCCAAAGAGAAGCCTTTCAAGTGTCAAGAGTGTGGAAAAGGATTCTGCCAGTCTCGGACTCTCGCTGTCCACAAGACGCTACACTCACAAGTGAAGGAGCTCAAAACTTCCAAGATCAAATGCTAAATAAACAGAGCCTGCGGGGCACCAGGAACCTGGGGCGCCTTCTCTACCAGAGGGACCCACGCTGAAGGCAACTCTGCGGGCAGCGGGAGGGGCTTTCGGGATCTTCCTTCCACAGCAACAAAGTCCCCTGGGTCCCTAGCGCTTGCGGCGCTCCTGAGCCTTGGCCCAGGCCGTGACTCCTCCGGCCTGGGCGGCTCCCCTAGGACGCGGCTAAAACTCTTGGCCAAAAGGGTGTACTCAACTCACATGGCGGAAGGAAAACTGCATTAAAAAAAAGAAAACCAACACACACACACACACACACACACACACACACACACACACACACAAACGAAAACTCCACTGAGCCGCAGCGGCGCCTCTCACAGAAGTATTACTTTTTCTGTTGTTATTTTATACGTTTTCTTTATCCTCCCTCCCTCCCCCGACTATATATGCTTGTAAAGTCTTGACTGCGGAGAGGGGGAAAGAACAGATCTGTGCACCCTGGCAATTCCCAGTTCCCCTTCCTTTCCCTATCCCCACACCGGGGAGCCTGCGAAATGTAATCCTTGTATCTGCTTCTGCCATCCGGCCCCAGGGGCCGCTGGCTCCGCGCGACTCCCGGGCGCTCCGGCTGACCCTCAGCTCCGGGCGCGGAAACCGGGCTGAGAACCAGGCGCCTGGGGCTAGGGGGCCCGGGCCTCCGCTCCCCTGTTCCAACGCTGCGCGCGCGAGCGAGCAGCCGGCCAGGAGCCGGGCGTTGTATCGCGACTGGCACTTTATGCTGACCATCGGACATTTATCACTGGAGTTTTTTTTTTAACTATTAAATAAACGGTTATTTTACAGGCACGTCAGAATGGACATACCCTCTAGGGTCGCGAGGGAAAAGCTCTTCTATTGAGAGAGGAACAGATTTCTCTGTTCAGGTTTTCACCTGTCAGCTTCTCTCACCTGGTCCTGTTAGGGTGACAGGGATGATAGGGCAGAGGAAGCTCTGTCCCTGGTGTTGGTCGATCTCTGTACTTAATTCCTTACTTTTCAGTGTCAGAACTCCAAATCTGAAAAGCTGTGAGTTGCAAAGGACAGAGTCTGCTGCTATTACACTAAGCTGTGGGAGATCCCAGCCTCTCCAGGTGCACAGGTCCTGTAGGGGCCACTAGGGAACAGAGTACCCCTCCCAGGCTGCACCCACACCCTATCCCCACACTAACCGCTTTCCAAGACCAGCCTGCTCGCTCGCTCTCTCTCTCTCTCTCTCTCTCTCTCTCTCTCTCTCTCTGTCGGTTTGTTTATTTGTTTGCTTGCTTGCTTTTGCTTTGGAGTGCGATCTTCCTTCACAGGGCCTCTAAGCCATGCATGCTGTCCTCTGTCCCAGCCCCTCAGCAGGCATTCACAGTATGCAATCACCACTCTTTCCAAAGTTCCCCAGTAGTCATCCTTCTGATTGCTTTGAGAACCCCTTACCCCTAATTCTTCTCTCGGAGCTTGTTCCCCACCCGGATCGCAACTCCAAACCCACGAAGATTCTTCACAATTTAAAAACTTTGTGAAGGATGGAAGTGGATGCCCTGGGATCCACCCCCTCCCCCCCCCCCCCCCACACACGCTTAGAAAGAGAAATGAGTTCACCTCTGGCAAACTGAATCTGCCCTTGGGCGTATAGTTTTCCCACAATTAAAGATCTGGCTGTCCTGGCTCTCTGTTCGGGGGCGGGGCCGGGCTCCCCCAGCTCCAGCGCCCAGACTGCAGGACCGCGCAGATGGTGGCGCCCTTGGCCTTTTCCAAACTAAGTGTAGCTCCCCGGGTTCAGCTCATGACACACTACGTAGAGGTGGGGACCACTGAGTTGTGCTTTCCTGCATCAGTGACCCAAAATCCAGCTTCCAGCAGTGTCCTGAGGATTGAGAAACCCAAGTTCAGATCGCAGTAGTTAAAGCTCTCCTCTTTCATGGTCTGTCTTGCCCCAACCTCTTCCGGGGAGTGATACCAAGCCCGGTGAAGACCAGACCTTTGAGTCCTAGGAACCCATTTTAAAGGGGACTTAGGTCTGGCCCTATCTAGGCTCCATTTACAACGTTAGAGGTCGTGTTGCCCCCTGCTGGATAGATCTGTATGGGCGGCTCAGGACTGAAGAACTTGTAAGGTGTGTTTCCACAACCATAAGAAACTTTGCCACAGCTCCTGTCCATTATTCATCAGCTTATAAGGTGTCTGCCCCTCAAAAACTTCTTGACTGATCTCAGGACCCATATGCTAATGAACAGTGTGCCAGGTCAAGGGTGCTGGTCTGCGGGATCTCCCCTTGACTGGCAAGTACCCAATGCCTTCCACCAAGGTCCAAAAGAACAAGGTCCCAAAGGGAATGAAACCCTTCTCTGAGAGTCTCGGAGCCTCTGAGTTCCTGGAAGGGCCTTTGAATTAAGTTTTGGAACCCAGAGTCCACCAGGTTGCAGTGGCAGGGGGTTCCTTTTATGTGGTCAAGTTAGGAGGATAGTCTTATTTGGAGGATGATAATGAGCTAATGAGTGGTGCATGCAGGAGAGAGAGAGAGAGAGAGAGAGAGAGAGAGAGAGAGAGAGAGAGAGTGTTTATAGCACTTTCTGGTGGTACAAGAGAACCATTTTCACTTCTTTCTTTCTGGGAGTCTGCCCTCCCAGGGGTTGACTACCACAGCTGTCCCCTTACTCGTTTGTTTCAGGACACTCAGAACCTCTGCAGTTAGCCAGGCCCCCGGGACATCATTAATGCTGTGGAATGTTCCAGAGGTTTGCTTGGGATGTTTCTTTTTTGGCGCATTCCAGTTCTGGCATGGTGAATCCCAAGCTCCACCCAGGTCCAGAGGCCTCAAGCCTTTCAATATCAAACATCCATCCTCAGAAGAATGGACTCCCTGGGGCAGATATTTTAACATAGTGAAAGGGAATGGGGCACCAGTCTAGGCAAAAATATCCAGACTACTGAGGACACCACATGTTACTCTCATGGGATGAAACCTGAGCCCAGGTTTTAGTAGCATTTGCTCCAAGGAACGACAAGACTATGCAGCAGCAGAGATTGCAGGTGGTCGCTCAACAGTCTACAAGCCAGGAGCAATGTGATTTTGGTCAGTTTCTCCTCTGGCACCCAGAATATGTGTGTGTGTGTGTGTGTGTGTGTGTGTGTGTAAATTATATTAGATATATTAATAATATATACATTAGAGACAGAGACAGATTTTTCTTGTCCATTCCAACTTTCCCCCATATACTTCTATAAACCCCCAGCTTTCTCTCCTCTCCCGACCTAGGTGTTCTCTCTCTCTCTCTCTCTCTCTCTCTCTCTCTCTCTCTCTCTCTCTGTAGTGTGTGTTGTATGTGTGTATGTGTCTTCCTCTTTCTCAAGCATAGCCAGAGATGGATTCTGAAACCAGTCTGAGAACTGGAAGAGTTGAAGATCTTGGCCTCGGTTGATCACTTTGGAGGGTTGAAGCCTTGGGGGACCCTTGGCTTAGCAGCTCAGAGTTCCTAACTAGGAAGAGATCAGAAGAATACTGGGAGAGAGAACAGCTTTCAAGGACTTCTTAAGAGGAAGAAGTTCAGGTCCTTAGAGTTTCTGGAACTTCGAGGTTTGCAACATCATAGAAAGCTTTTTCCAACCCACTGGGTTCACTGTTTACAGGGGAGAGGGGAGAGAAGGTACGTGGACTCTTGTCCTCACTTCAGTTTCAAGGATGCTAGACCTGTGACATTATAAATCCCCTTGACAGCGACAGTATTCCCACATACATGACATAAATAAATAAATATTAAAAAAAATAAATCCCAATGAATCTGTCTGTTTCAAAGATATTCTCTTTCTATCATCTAAGGATGTGGTATCACTATCTTCTCTTTTAGGCACAGTGACATCATACCGGCCTCTGGCCGGAGCCCAAAGGCACCATAACATCTACAGCTGTAATGTTTTATGAAATCACAGACCAGTTCTGATTGGAGCTGTGATGCCCACTCATCCTAGCCCCGCCCGGAGAATAGTATTCTTGTAGGCTTCAGGAATAGTTCCGACTCCACCAACAGGATCCGCAGACCCAAGGCTCTGGCAGGTGCCCTGTGTGAGCAGCCGTGGTGGGAGCATTCTTTTTGAGATTCCATGGTGATGGTTTAAGCAATTTCAGACCACATGGGTTCCAACGCCAGCTACTGCTGCGCACACGCCCAGCCCACGCAGACCCCGCCCACATTGACTGCCCTCCCCTCCCATCTGTGCAGGCTCTGCCCGCGCAGGCGCAGGAGTAACTCTCCAGCCACGCGGGGCTGTGCAGATGAACTGAGCAAAGGGAGGTTGGGTTAGGTGCTGCATTATTTTTTTGGTTCCCACCTTTAGTGATGAAGCAGGATTCTGCGTCGGTATCCTGCCATAGTCCTGCGCAATAGAGGTGCAGATTTAGTTCGCCATTAATGCAGCTTGCAGACTCTTGAGACCCTGGGAAGTCTTCAGTCCAATCTGTCGCCAAAGGAAGTCCTACAGATCCAAGCCTCAGGGAGGGTGTGGCAGGGCTGCAGTACATCAGAAAGTGCGTTGCAGTTTCAGCCTTCTGGGTAGAGTGTCTGAGGCAGAGGGCCCTTCTACCAGAGTCCTGGGAGACTTTTAGAAGTAAGGCAAGGCCTGCTTAGGTCTTTTACCTACTCAGTCAGGGTTTCTTTACAGCCTAACAGGCCCAGTTTTCACATTTCATATGGAAAAATTCACTAGGGACACTAAGTATTAGTTGGGGGTCAAACCTCGTGTCAGTGCAGAGGAAGAATTAGAAGCTCTGTTTTCTTTGAGACACTGGGCCAGGAGACTTTCTTGTCTTAAAATACACAAGCTTGGGGCAAGTTCCTGAAAACCTGAACTTTAGTTTTACTCCAGCAGCAGCAGGGATAATGCTCTCCTATTGCCCCATTCAGTTGATATAGAGATAAAAGTCCTACATATTTAATAGCAAGGTTATTGCTTTACCTAAAAATTGTGCCCTAATACGATGCAGATCAACTCCAGCACTTATAAGCTAAGTAGATGTAGTGCCAGAAATACTTTATCAGTTCCCTGTAGTTGTTTGCCTTTAAAGCTCCATTACTGCTCGCCCCATTTTTCACTTTCCAGAGGAAGTTTCAGAATCTTGTCTGGGAGGTGAGAGAGGACAGCTTGGATTGGTGGGCTTTTTTGATTGTGTGTGTGTGTGCGCGCGTGCGCATGTGCATGTGCACTGTGACTATGCACTCCTGTGCCCCCACTTGGGAGGTGAGAGAATGTAGATTCTCTTCTTGTAACACACTCCTTAGTTTTTGAGACAGGATTTCTCCCTGAACTTGAACCTCCCTGTTTCTGCCAGACCAGGTGAGCTACTGAACTCCCTGCCTGAGAAAAGGGAGCTCAAAGGATGCTCTACCAATAGCATGGTAATATCAGCATGTGTCTTTATCCGTTAATCATAACCCTAGTCCTTGACACTTACTGTCATTCTAGGACAGTGCTAATTTCAGTCCCAGACGTAAGAACAGAAGATGGACCTGGGACAGTGAGATGAACGGGTGGATGGATGGATGGATGAAAAGTTGAGAGGCATATATATGTATATATATATATACATATATATATATGTATATATATATATACATATATGTATTATATGTAAATTTTTTAATACTGCACTAGCTCTCAGTAGCTCAGCTGTCACTGGGAATATATAAAATACAATTAATTCATTTTAACTGAAGGCTTCATTGAACTGAGATAAGTGTTTGTTGTCTGTTTTCCTTTCATGAAATAGTATGGATGGATCGCTTTCTGACACTTGTAGGAATGAGTACCTGGGAGGAAGGGTGCCT